AGTATTAGTATTAGTATTAGTATTAGTATTAGTATTAGTATTAGTATTAGTATTAGTATTAGTATTAGTATTAGTATTAGTATTAGTATTAGTATTAGTATTAGTATTAGTATTAGTATTAGTATTAGTATTAGTATTAGTATTAGTATTAGTATTAGTATTAGTATTATTATTAGTAGTAGTATTCGTATATTTATTATTACTATTATTATTATTCTTCTTCTTATTATTATTATTATTAGTAGTAGTAGTAGTAATCGTACTACTAGTTGTCTTCGTAATTGGAGTCGATCTATTCGTAGTAGTCGTAGTCGAAGTACTAGGGCCGTTTTGGGCCATCTTAGGGCCATGTTCGGCCGTCTCGGTGGGCTCCTGGTCCGTCTGACGCCGTCGGAAGCCGTTTGGGGGGCCTCTATGGGCCGACTTGGGGTCCTCTTGGAATGCTCCAGGGCCGTCTTGGAGGCCATCTTGGGCGTCTGAAAGGCCTCCTGTACTGTCTTGGGGGCCTCTTGGGGCCGTCTTGGGGCCCTCTTGGGCCGTTCTGTGGCCATCTTGGAGGCCTTTTGGGCGACCTTTCGGCGATCTTTGGGGGCTCTTGGGCCGTCTCGGGCCGTCGGAAGGCCGCAAAAGAAGGAACTGTCAAAATCTGTCAAAAACCTTAGAAACGTCGAGGTTTTTGGCCTCTTCTGGCCTTCCTGGAGGCCCTCTTGGGGGCCTCTTGGGCCGTGTAGGGCCAGCTTCGAGCCAACTTCGGCCATCTTGGTGGGTTCCTGGCCAGTCTGACGCCGTCGGGGGCCGTCTTGGGGGTCCTCCTGGGCCGATTGGGAGCCCTCTTGGGACGCTTCGGGGCCGTCTTGGAGGCCATCTTGGGCGTCTTGGAGGCCATCTTGGGCGTGCTTGAGGCCTCTTGGGCCGTCTTGGGGCCCTCTTGGGGCCGTCTTGGAGGCCACTTGGGCCGTCATGGGGCCCTCTTGGGGGCCGCTTGGGCCGTCTTGAGCCGTCGGGATGCCGAGAAGAAGCAAATTCCAAGATCCTTCAAAAACCGAAGTACAATTAATGATTTTGGTTTCTTCGGGCCCTCCTGGAGGACCTCTTGGAGGCCTCTTGGGCCGTCTTGGAGGCCTCTTGGGGGCCTCTTGGGCCGTCTTGGGCCGTCTTGGACTCTCTCGATCCGTCTTGGAGGCTGTCTTGGACCATCTTGGGCGGACATAGAGGCCATCTTGGGCCATCTTCGCGATTCTTTGAGGACGTCCCGAGCGAAACGGCCGTTTTTGGCGACGACAGACGGGTTTTCTGGGTGGCCGGCGGGACGGGCCGAAGCCCCAGGGGGAGTTCTTTTGGAAAAAGAATCAAAACCAAGAGCCATATAATCTGGCACGCCAGGCACCCCTTTGATAAATCAAAAGGGGGCGGCGGGTATCCTTCGGCCTATCCTGCCACCGTGCATGGAAGCCTTAGGCACCCGTAGAGAGCGCATCAGGGAGCCTTGGGAGGGGATGGTGGTGCACGCGAGGGGGCGTGGTGAACGAGGGAGCTTCAGAATTTGGTACGACTGTGGTGCCCTCGCCGTGCCAGGTGGCACGATGGCGGATTGTTGCACATTTGCAATTGCTGCTGCCGACCGAAGGCCTTACGGCCAGAGGGCCTTACGGCCGGTGCCGCCGGTTTTCATAGCTGATGAATCAACGATAGTGCTGACAAGGTGTAGAAGGAGGAGCAGAAGGAGGAAGAGGAGAAGGAGGAAACGGAGGAAGAGGACCACAATAAACCAACGATGAACCAATTATCAACGATGCTGCAGTACGAACTATTTGGCGTGTTGTTTTCATTGCGAAGGCCTTACGGCCGGTGCCTCCCCCATGACCCCCGTTGTCGACCCCACTGGGGACCTCCCTGGGGCCCGCCAGGGCCCCCCCCACCGTCAGGGAGAGGAACAAGGAGAGATCATCGACTTAACTACCGACTTTCTTTTCCTTGTTTCGGTATTGCTTAACCGACCCCCATCCCCATCCCCATCCCCTTCGAGACCCCCACCAAATTACCACCCCAGTTGGGGATACACCCCTCGAAACCCGAAAGGAACGGCCAAAATCCCTATCTAGGGGGGTAAATCGGCCAGTGGGGCCCAGGCCACGCCGCTGGGGATGGGGATCGGTTAAACGATACTCAGGGAGGGGCACAAGGAGAGATAATCGACTGAACTACGACGTTTCTCTTCCTTGTTGCTCGATTTCCTTAGGACTGGCGACGACGACGACGCGGGCAAAGCCTCTCTCACGCACCAAAGGGTCGGCGGATTTTCATGATGATAGTGTTGGTGCCAGTTTTTGCGGTCTCTTTAGATGTGTGAAACATCTGGTCACGGACAAGTCCTAGGCTCGATTTCAGTTTTGATATTAGTCATGCTCGTCGTCGTCGTAGTCGTTATGATTGTGGTGATGGGATTGTGGCGACAGAAGGGAGTAGTAGTCACAGGCGTCGTCGTAGCAGCCGTTGTGGTTGTGGCCGTGGGATAGTGGTGATAGTAGTGGTGAGCGTGGTATTCATGGTGGTGGTCGCAGTTGATATCGTTCATGCGTTTTGTTCGACAATGCACGCGTGGTGCGTGCGACGAGTGTGCGCATGCTGTTCGTCAGCGAAATCAGGTTGGCCCATCACTAGCTGGTTCTGCCGCGCATGTCTTGCGGACTTGTGTTCCCGCCTGGTCTTCCGCGCCCCCGCCCCCCGCGCGGTCGCCCTTGTTTTTTTTCTCCCTCCCGTGCGCCGGACAATTCGCCTTTCGGTCGTCCCGACTAGCCCCACGCTGATTCGGACTGCCTCTGCTTCGCCGCCGACGAAAAAAAAACAAGTTCCCGCCCCGATCGCATTTTTTTCCGATGAACTCGATTTAGGTGCTCGCTCTCCCCTCTCTGCGTCGCCTTCTGTCGTCGTGCTACCCTGGATCGCTTAGTAATCGCCCCCCTTGGAGTGCTCGGGGGGGTTGGCCGCGGCGCGTCCGCGGGGGTGCCAGGGGGGTCTGGGGTTCGATCCCTTCCCCGCTGGGGCGCGACGGTGGTGCCGTGGGGGGGGGGGGGCTGGCCGCGCCGCGTTTTTACGTTTGTCCCCCCCCGGTTGATTCATAAGGAGTTCGGAGCACCCTTCTCCCTGCCTTCCCGCGGCCTTCGGTCGCCCTGCAGGCTGAGCCGGAGAGCTTCGCGTCCACCGTCGCCGCGTCCGCTGGGGTGGAGCGCGGCCCAGGCGAAGGTGCGTGGGAGTCCAGCGGGAGTCCAAGAGGCGACGACGGGCGAAAAAGCCCAGGGGAGAGCAATGCATGTATTCAAGTGCGCCGATGATCTATGTCTTCGAAAAGGCTCCTGGGCGAATGCGTGTAATGCCCGCCTCTGGGCTATTCGCCCCTATCCTCTCCGCCCAGAGGAAGGCGGAGGAGCGCGGACGGGCCGAGAAGGGGATGCGGAGGGGGAGGAGGAGGAGGAGGAGGAGGAGGAGGAGGAGGAGGAGGGACGGCATCTGGCTGCCTCCGTTGCAGCCCCGTTAGCCAGAAACGGGGCATAATTACGCCCTCAGCATACTTGGCAGAGGAGGAGGAGCATCAGGAGGTGGAGCAGCAGCAGCAGCAGCAGCAGCAGCAGCAGCAGCAGCAGCAGCAGCAGCAGTTGGAGGAGGAGGAGGAGGAGGAGGAGGAGGAGGAGAAGGAGGAGGAGGCCTGCACTGCCATGCCCGCCTTCCCTCTGGCCTCCAGGGCGTCCGACGGGCTCCGCGGCCGCCTCGCTGTGGGGCGGCCTCGCCAGCGAGGGCGCCGACGTGGACGGGCGCCGTGTGTCCGAGGACCCGGAGACCTCACGAGCAGCTCCGCCTCGGTAGACAAGCACGCTCCACTACTCGCAAAGCAGCTGCTCGCAAACGGCCTGGATCCGCCGCGGGTGGGTGTTATAATCAAGAGGCAAGCCTCTGTTTTTTTTGTCGGGCGTTTGCGAGTGGGCACTTCGTGAGTAGTGGAACGCGCTCGGTGACCCGGGACCCCCGAAGCCAGAACTTTGCAAACCAAGGCTTTCCTAGATCAAGTGGGAGAGAATAACGCATGGAGAGTGTTCCGATCCACGACGTTAGTTTTCCCGGGTGCTCCAATGTATTGGTTTGTGAAATTTCCCGTTCACGGGGTCTTGGTTTCCCCTTCGTCCTCATCTTTGGTTTTCCATTTAATATGGTCGTCGTCGTCGTGGCCCTCGAACTCGCTCTGGTCTTCACCCTCACCCTTGTCCTCGCCATTCTCCGCCGTTCTTCTTCCTCTGTCTCGGCCTCGTGCGCGTGTGATGACTTGGAAACTTGTTGGGTTGTATGTTGGACAAGAGATGTCCCGGAATGTGGCACGCGGAGGTGTTTTCGGTCTCGCTGCTACGCACCGTCCTCAATGCATGGGCGCACCCATCAGCTCCTGACGCTCGGACACGCGGGTACGTGCAGCTGTTTCGCAGTATCCCCTCAAGCACGCATCCTTTGTTGAGCCCTCGGCCTTTATGACTCCACCTCCTCCTGTTTCTTCCTCTCCCTCGTCCTCGCCCTCTTTGTCTTCGTCCTCGTCCGCGTCGTCATTCTCGTCGACGTCGTCGTCCTCGTCTTCGCTTGTCTTCGCCCCCGAGCTGTTCCTAGGTGCGAGGGTCAACGGCGTTGCGCCAACGCGCCCTGGCGGTGAAGGCCAATATCGCGAGGTGCCCCGACGGGTCGCTCCAGACGGGGTGGGACAGTGGCAGAGCGGGCTCTTTACACTTGGCGTCACCCCAATCTACGAATACTATGTGTGCGTCGCCCCCCCAGGGGGGACGCGCGCGCCGAGAAGTCTCATAGTAGAAGCTCCGTGGCGGGCGCTTTCTGCCCATGCCGCTCGGGAAACGATCTGCTACCAGAAGGTTGTACTATACGTTCAAGTCGGACGCACGCTTCCGAGGAGGACACGTAGTACTAGTATTTCCTTGTGCGTCCCGTTGGCACCATCTGTCACGACTTTTGCTTTACCCGTATACAGGGCTGAGGTTGCCAAGCTATAAGAGTTATCGATGGGTGGTTCGTCTTGGCTGCCGCCAGGGCGAATGTGTGAGGATGTGGTGGCGATGAATGCTTTTCTTCTTCCGGATTGCAGTGCGGGGCGACATACGGGATGTTTGCCAGGGCTACTATGCGAAGTCGTGCGGCCACTCATACAAAGAGGTGCCTGATAATGAGGTGCTTACCCGTGGTCGCTTCGATCTGCAACGGCATATCGATATATTCAGGATGCTTTTCCACAAACGAATTGGGGAAGTTTGAGTGGAAGACTTCATCTCACTTTCTTCGCAGGCACGTTGATCTGCGGACTCGTTCCTGTCAAACCGATGTTCAATATGGATGGTGAGTGGGGCGACTGACGGTGGTTGGTCAGTCGTCTATTGGGTGTGGTTCTGTCGTCGGTTGGACTTCGTTCTGTTCTCGCTTGGTAGTCAGTTGGTGTTTGGTTGGTGGCTGGTTGGTGGTCGGTTGGTAGTCTGTTGGTTGTCGGTTGGTGGTCTGTTGGTTGTCGATTGATGGTCGGTCGATAGTCGACTGGGCGTCTGTTCATGACCTTTCGATGGTCGGCTGGTGGTAGACTGGTGGTCGGTGGGCGTTCGGGTGGACGCATTGGTGTGGGTGGTGGGCGGGTGGGTGGTTGGCTGGTGTTGTCTTGGTGATCTTTCGGTGGTCTGTTGGTTGTCGGTTGGTTGTCTGTTGGTTGTCGGTTGGTGGTCGGGTGGTGGTCGGCTGGGCGTTTGTTCGTGGCCCTCGGCGGTCGATTGGTAGTCGGCCTGTGGCAGTTTGGTGGTCGGTGAGTGTGCGGCTGGTGGCCGACGTCGCCCAGTGGCCCCCGCCATCTGGGAGGAAGTCCGGCCCCGAGCCGTCGCTCAGGGTTTTACCGGCGGGACAGGCTTTGCTGCCCCATCCCGGCGGCCCGTGCTCGGGGCTGGTTGCGGCACCGCCCAGCGATGCGATGCGCATCGTCGACGCGCCTCGTCTCCGTCGTCGTCGTCGTCGTCGTCGTCGTCGTCGTCGTCGTCGTCGTCGTCGTCGTCGTCGTCGTCGTCGTCGTCGTCGTCCGTCGTCCGTCGTCCGTCGTCCGTCGTCCGTCGTCCGTCGTCCGTCGTCCGTCGTCGTCGTCGTCGTCGTCGTCGTCGTCGTCGTCGTCGTCGTCGTCGTCGTCGTCGTCGTCGTCGTCGTCGTCGTCGTCCGTCGTCGTCGTCGTCGTCGTCGTCGTCGTCGTCGTCGTCGTCGTCGTCGTCGTCAGCGTCGTCGTGGTCGTGGTGCGTGTTGCTCTGCTCGGGGGAACTTCCTTTGTGCAGTGACCACCACTGCCACCCCCGCCAGCCCCCCCCCCCAGGACCCGCAGCTTGCCTCGCCGGGGCGCGCGTCGCCGGGCGGGCAACTGCCGGTGCGCCCCGGGCCTCACAAACGGATGGGGGCCCTCCTCCTCCTCCCCCCCTCCTCCTTCTCCTCCTCGTCCTCCTCCTCCTCCTCCTCCTCCTTGTCCTTGTCCTCCTCCTCCTCCTCCTCCTCCTCCTCCTCCTCCTCCTCCCGGCGTGCTGCTCCTCCTTCAGTGGTGCCCATGGGCGGCAGGCGGGTCGGGCCACAGCAGGTGCCCCAATCTCCCACGAGGCGTGGAGGGGGGAAGGGGGGAGGGGAGGGGAGGGGGGGGGGAGCGAGGAGGGGAGAAGGGGGGGGGGGAGGAGGGGAGGGGAGGGGGGGGGGGAGAGTGAGGGAGGGGGGGGAGGGGAGGAGAGGGGTGGGGGGAGGGAGGGAGGGAGGGGGCAAGGGGAAGGAGAGGAGCCACAGGAGCAGCTGCAGAAGCAGGAGCAGGAGGAGCAGGCGGAGCAGGCGGAGCAGGCGGAGCAGGCGGAGCAGGCGGAGCAGGAGGCAGGGGCGTGGGCCCTTGGGTGGGCGGGGGTGCTCAGGTTGAGGGAAGAAATCAAGCAATCCTCCCCCCTCCTCCCCCGCAGTTCGAAGTTGGCACGCTCCTTGAAGACCGCTCGGAGGCCCAGAATCGGAAGATCCGAAACCAGCATTGCATATGGGGGGAGGGGGGAGGGGGGGAGCTCAAACCATACTCCGAGTTTCTTAAAAAGCGTCGGGGGGGCGTCACCCCCGCCGACAGCCCCACATCGATCCCCGTCGCGGGCAGCCGCCGCGCGCCGAAGGCGCTCCGACCCCCTTCGCGGCGCGACGACGAGGCGAACTTGACCCCTGTCGGGGGGGTACCCCCCCCACGCTGATCAAGAAACCCAGGGGTATCTTCTGCATGAGTGTTGCATCTGCGGGAGGCGCTGCCTGCGCGTGTGCGCGGCGGCGGCAGGCGGGAAGCGTCAGAGCGGGGAGCCCCGCTCTCCCGGAGCCCGCCGCCCTCCGTGGAGGCGGACGTGACGCTGGTGCCGGTGCCCTCGCCGCTGCCGGACGCCGCGGGGGGGGAGTCAGTATCGTTGCACCAATGCCCATTCCCAGCCTTCTCCCCTTCGAGACCACCACCAAATTACCACCCCAGTTGGGGATACACCCCTCGAAACCCGAATGGAACGACCTATATCCCCATCTGGGGAGGTAAATCGGCCAATGGAGCCCAGGCCACGCCGCTGGGGGTGGGGATCGGTGAAACGATACTCAGGGAGGGGCGCGGGTCAGGACAGCAGACGCCACAGGAAGGGGTGGTCAGCTTCCTCCCCGTTCGTCATCGTCGTCGTCGTCGTCCTCCTCCTCCTCTTTCTCTTGTTGTTTTTTTGTTTTACGTTCAGCGGACTTTCATCCTGAGATTGCAGCGTCTGTCCTCCTCCTGCTCCTCCTCCTCCTCCTTCTGCTTCTCTTTTTGTTTGGCGTTCAGCGGACTTTAATCCTAAGATTGCAGCGTCTTTCCTTCTCCTGCTCCTCCTCCACCTCGCACTCGCAGTCCTCCACCCCGTCCTGGGGTCTCCTCCCCTTTCGGTAGGCAGATCCCCCCTCCTTCCAACCCTCCTGATCGTTTTCGCCGCCGTCGTCGTCGTCGTCCTGCCCCTCCTTCCTCTCTGCCTCCATCTCGTCCCTCGAAGGCTCGACCGAACACCTGCTTCACCTTGGGCGCCCATGATCTGTTCAGAGCTGCATGCGCTCCGTGTGTCCGTGGCCGCTCGTCGTCGCCGCTCGTTGTTCGCCAGCTTTCTCGTCGCCGTCGGTCGCCGCCCGCTCTGCGTTCGTCATCGTCGGTGACGTCGTCGTTGCGGCTCGTCGCTCGTCGTGTGTCGTCTTCGTCTCCTTGCCGCCACTGTTGCCCTTGCGTCTCACACCTTGGCTGCTCCTCTGCCCCTGCTCCTCTCCTCTCCCTGCGGTTTCTCGGGTCAGCAGCTCCGCCGCGAAGGCGCTCTCAGGAACCGAGGCCGGGAAGGGAGATGGAACACGGCAAGCGGAATGGACTCCAGATGCCGAGCACCAGTGGTGCCAGCAGCACCACTGGCCTTGGCTGGGCCTCGAACGCCTGGGCACGGCAGGCGGACGAAGGGAGCGGAAACGAAATGTGCTGCAGCGAGGAGATCGAAGCTGCCCGAACGCCGTCGACGTCGTCTACTGCTGGCGAGAAGGCGCCGCGCCATCTCTCGTGAGATGACGGTCTTGCATGGCAGTCCTACAGCAGGTCTCGCTTTGATCTCCGCTGGATCTCTCCTCTCTCTCTCTCTGTATGTGTGTTTGTCTGTTTGTCTGTCTGCCTGCCCGCCGGTCTGTCTGTCTACCTGCCTGTCTGTCTGTCTGTCTGTCTGTCTGTCTGTTTTTTGTTCTCTTTCTCGCTCTGTCTCCCTCTCCCGCCCATGAATCTTGTCTCACCCTTGCTCTCGCTATCGCTTTCTCTGCTTCTCTTGTTCGCCGTGCCTTTTCGCTGTTGCCCCTTTCTTTCTCTCTCTCTTTCGCCCCGTCTTTCCTGGTATCTATGCAGTGGCCTCCGGCGGCCCATCCCGCCATTGTGCTTTGGTCGTGGGCGAGAGGCCTCTTAGAGGCCTCTTGAGGTCTCTTGGTTGGCTTCTTTCGGGGCTCTCACAACACTCGTTGGGGGGTCCCCTTGGTATCCATTCTTGGAGGCCTCTTGGGGGCCTGCCAGCAGTCTCGGGGTCCATCTTGGGGGGAAGATCTCGAAATGCCCTCTTGGGCCCCTCTTGGCTTCTTGGGCCCCTCTTGGGGCTGTATTGGGTGCTTCTGGACTCTCCTGGGGGACTTGGGGGTGATCTTTGGACGCTCTTGGGTAAGACAGACAAGCCGGTAATACTGAACTCATGTAACGTGTGTGGTTACGTTTATGTAAATGCATATGTATAATGATATGTGTATGGGTATGTCTGTATATAGGTATGCATCTGTGTAGATGTATACGTCTTTGTCTGTACGCTTATGTTTGCATATATACACATGAAGCACACATCTATGTTTATATCTGTATGCATATACGTATGAAGCTGTGTTTGTATAGGGGTACGCTTTTATATACATGTATCTCATCGTAGGTCTTTGCATATACGTATGCATGTTTACGTATGTATGTGTATATATATGATATCTACACATATGTGATCTGTATTCTGATGTGTACAGGCAATTGTATACGTATATGTTTTCATCGATGCATATGTCTATATACATGAATCTGTAAACATGTGTGACATGTCTACATACAAGTTCATGAATATACATATGGGGATATGTATATATGTTCATATATAACCAAATGTATGTGACATAACGTGCATATACGTGCATGGCCATACACATCTTTGTCCACTGCTCTGTGTATGTTTCCGTATGTGTGTAAGTACCTGTCTGTTCATATATATATATATATATATAGAGGTATGTGTATATGAACATGTGCATGTATATGTACGTATACTCATGCACATTTTCACGTACATGTATATATCGGACTGTGTTTATACCATATGTATATGTACTTGGGACATGTACGCGTACACGAGTATGCATGTGTGCACATACGTATATAGATGTATAGGTATATGTAGATGTAGCTGTAGCTGTAGCTCTGGGTGTAGCTGTAGCTGTAGCTGTATGTGTGGATGTAGAGGTACACATGTATATGTGCATGTATCTTTATATACATATGTATATGTTTCTGTGCATGTATATGTGTACATTATATTTTTAGGTATATGTATATATAATGGCATCTGTATCTGTACACAGCTGTGTGGATATATGCTTATGTATAGGTGACTGTATATGTACACGTATACGTAAATGCGTATATATCGGTATACGTATTTATAAATACATGTGTATGTTTATAGGCATGTGTATATCTGTGTACACGCATATGCATACGTATATGTATATGTGCATGTGCGAATCCATTTCTAAGTATGCATGTGGGTATGTGTATGGTTACATATATGTATGTATGTATATTCCCATGTAACTGTTTATGTATATGCATATTTATATGCATATGTATATATACTTGCATATATAAATCATTTATATGCACATAGTGTAGTAATGTATGTATGTATGTATGTATGTATGTAGGTAGGTAGGTAGGTAGGTAGGTAGGTAGGTAGGTATGCATGTATGCATGCATGCATGCATGCATGTATGTATGTATGTATGTATGTCTGTATATGTATATATAAGGGTTTATGTGTGCGTGAGTGTGTGCGTGTGTGTGTGCGCGCGTGTGTGTGTGTGCCGTTCATGAACTTTGGCTGCTTGCGTCGAAGATACTGCCTAAGCCGGCACTGTTGGAAGTGTACCACGTTCCCGAAGCCTCTGCGAATGTCACGCGGGGAATGTCAGGAGCACCGAGAGCGCGAAGAAGCGCACAGTCATTCAAGGTTTTCGCGGCTTGGGGGGGCCCTCAAAGAGTGAGCAATTAGAATACCCAGCACACAGAGGTCGAAAAGATCTGGTGGCACTTCACTCAGTGCCTAGCGCCTTGGTAGTGGATGTGATTGTTAGATGCATGCGCTGTTCTCATGTTCCCCAACAGGTGGCCCAGGGTTCACACCCTTCGGGCAGCGTTTCTCAGTCTGCCTTCGACGTGGTGGAGAGCACGTCTCTTCTGGCTTGCAGAGCAGAGGTCGCCTCGGCTGGTCACGCTCTTGCTTCTGCGTGGTCTTCATCTCGCTTCAGCCGCGCTGAGTCCATCAATGGTGCTGCCGACTTCTCCAGACAGTATCTTTTTCCTGATGGGATGGCGCTGCTGACCTCCCCAGACAGTTTCCCCTTCGCAGGATGGCGCCCCTCTGGAGGGGCCAGAGGCCTCTGCTGGCTCTGTGTGCCAGTTGTGCCTCAGGCGCCCTGGTGTTTGAAAAGTGGCGACCCTCGCCAGTTGTGCCCCAGGCGCCTTGGCCTCTGAAACGTGGAGACCCTCACAATAATGGCGCCCCTTCTGGAGAGGCCCGTGCTGGTCGGCCGTGCTTCCCCGCTGCACTCTCTTACTCCTGCTCCCTCCACGTCCGTCTCCTTCGCGCGGTATCTCGGCTTCTGTGCGCCGTCCATCCGAATGTCATGGTTTGGGTGAGGGCGGGGAGCTTTCGCCCAGGTTGGCTTTCGCCCAGGTTGGCTTTCGCCCAGGTTGGCTTTCGCCCAGGTTGGCTTCCGCCCGGGTTGGCTTTTGCCCAGGTTGGCTTTGTCCCGGGTTGGCTTTCGCCCGAGTTGGTTTTCGCCCGGGTTGGTTTTCGCCCGGGTTGGTCTTTCGCCCAGGTTGGCTTTCGCCTGCATTCGTTTTGCCCTCCTCTTTCTCCTCTCCTCCTCCCGCTCCTGTCCTTCTACGCTGCTGCTGCTGCTCCTTTTCCTCCGCTCCTCCTCTGGCTCCTCTTGCCCGCGACCGGTTGGCTGGGGCTCCGTTACGTTCGTTCCCGCAGCAGCATTGGAAGTAAAACCCCCTGCCTTCTTCCAGGACGGCCTGACCTACATGCACACCGCCCTTGCTCAGGCCCCCCCGAGGCCAGCGGTCAGTCAGCGCTACGTGCCCCCCTGGCAAAGCCAGACGCGTGCTCACTCGAGCGTGCCCCACACTTTCGTGTCCCGCCCGCCCGACGCGACCCGCCCGTCAGGGTCCGCCCGACCCGACCCGATCCGTTCCCCGCCCCGCCCGTTAGGTCCGCCCGTTAGGGTTCACGTGTGCTCATTCGAGCGCGCCCCACACTTTAGTGCCCCGCCCGCCTGACCTGACCCGCACGTTAGGGTCCGCCCGACCCGACCCGACCGTCCTGCCCGTTAGGGTCCGCCCGCCCGGCCCGACCCGCCCGTTTGCGTTCACGCTCGCTCGCTCGAGCGTGCCCCACATTTTATAGTCCCGCCCGCCTGACCAGACCCGACTCGTCCCGCCCGTTAGGGTCCGCCCGCCCAGCCCGACCCGCCCGTAGGGTTCACGCGTGCTCGCTCGGGCGTGCCCCACCTTTGAGTGTCCCGCCCGCCCGACCCGGCCCGCCCGTTAGGGTTTGCCCGACCCGACCCGACCCGTCCCGCCTGGTAGGACCCGCCCGCCCGACCCGACTCGCCGTTAGAGTTCACGCGTGCTCGCTCCAGCGTGCCCCACACTTTAGTGTCCCGCCCGCCCGACCCGACGCGCCCGTTAGGGTTTGCCCGACCCGACCCGATCCGCCCCGCCCGTTAGGGTCCGCCCGCCCGGCCCGACCCGCCCGCTAGGGTTCACGCGTGCTCACGAGCTCGAGCGCGCCCCACACTTTTAGCGCCCCGCCCGCCCGACCCGACCCGCCCGTTAGGGTTCGCCCGACCCGACCCGTCCCGCCCGTTAGGGTCCGCCCGCCCGACCCGACCCACCCGTTGGAGCCAGCGCCCAACCCCAGCGAAAGCCAACCCCGGCGAAACGAAGCCCGGCGAAAGCCAACCTTGGCGAAAGCCAACCCTGGCGAAACGAAACCCGGCGAACGCCAACCCCGGCGAAAGCCAACCCCAACGAACGCCAACCCCGGCGAAAGCCAACCCTGGCGAAAGCCAACGCGGTCGAAAGCCAACCTGGGCGAAAGCCAACCCGGGCGAAAGCAGGCCTGGCGAAACGAAGCTCGGCGAAACGAAGCCTGGCCCGGCGAAAACCAACCCCGCCGAAAAGCATCCATGCCGAGTGCGGGGGGTATTGCGGCGTGGAGACATGATAGTGTTTGAGTTCGACGTTGGTAATTTTCTTGTCTTCCTCCTTCATCTTCGTCCTCCTCCTTAACCTCCTCCTCCTCCTCAACCTCCCTCTCTCTCTCTCTCTCCCCCCTTCCCTTCCGCCCTCTCTCCCTCCCTCCCTCCCTCCCTCCCTTCTCCTTCATCCTCCTCTGGCGCCTCCTCCTCATGCTTGTTTCTTGAACTTCTCTGTGTGGATGTGCGCGTCTTCTCCCCGCACGGACGCCGACCTCATGGTGCGCTGCCTGGCTCCTTGTCATTGGCCCGTCTTCCGTAGTGCAGCAGACGACGGGCCACGCACTGCAATACCATTTCGGGATCCAGGCCTTGTCCGACGCCTGACTCGGCGAGTAAGAGAGGAAAGGGATTCCAATGCAATGGGACGGGTTGAGTGGCGGGGCCAGGATGCACCAGATGTGGCGCGAGCGCGCCTGGTTGGCCCCCCGCTGCCTGGTCTATGCCTCTGCTTCCCTCCCCCTCCCCCTCCCGGCCCCCCCTCCTCGTCGCATGTCTCTCCGCCCCACTGGCTGTGCTCCCGGCCCCGCTGCACCCTCGGCGGCCCCTCTCGCCGGTCCTGCGGCCCCCTTCCCCGCCTCGTCTCGATGGCCCCCCGCCAGTGGGCCCGCGCCTGCCCGTGTCGTTGCCGCCTCGGGGCCCTCGGGCCTCTCGCCCTCTCGGGCCTCGCCCTCCCCCCCCCCCCCCTCCAGAAGAGTGCTTCTTCATGCAGTCAACCCGCACAGCAAGGACGGGCATCCTTCCCAAGGGTACTCTTGCATCCTTGCCTCCTCGACCCATCCTTGGCCACTTTCGTTGGCCGCGCTCCGCTCGAAAAGCTTCGAAATGGGCGTCCAAGGCCCTTGCCTATGATACGGGCCGACTGTAATTTCGATCCTCCGAAATCTGAACCCCTTCCCGGGGACCGGCTCGTCATTCCGGGCTGTCTGTTGTCTGCCCCGGGGGCCAGGGAGGCCGAAGACGGCCAAAAATTTCGCCCTGCTCCCATCCCCCCTCCTGCTCCTGCTCCTCCTCCTCCTCCTCCGCCTCCTCCTCCGCGGGTGGTTCTCGCCCTAGCTCCGCTCACATTCTTTATACACAAATTGCAAGAGTTTCACGGATTGAGGGCGGGTGGTTTTCAAAATGTGGCTTTCGCCTCAGCGCCGCGCGCATACGTTTTAAACAATTGCAAGAGTTCCACGGATGGAGGGCGGGTGGTTTTCAAAATGTGGCTTTCGCCTCAGCGTTGCGCGCATTCTTTTTAAACATTTGCAAGAGTTTCGCGGAGTGAGGGCGGGTCGTTTTCAAAATGTGGCTCTCGCCTTAGCGCCGCGCGCATTCGTCTAAACAAATCGCAAGAGTTTCACGGGTTGAGGGCGGTTCCTTTTCAAAATGTGGCTTTTGCTTTAGCGCCGCGCGCACATTCGCTTTGAACATTGCAAGAGTTTCATATATTCCCATGATCAACGTACCATATATGGTTTGGACGGATGCAGGATTATGCGGGTGCAGCAGTTATTTCGATTCGCGTTGTCGAAGTCCCAACAATGACGTTCTGGCACGATTCCGGATCGTCAAGACGCAGCAGTCAGGTTGATACGTGGCGTTGAAATCCCGAGAACAGTGCTCTGGCATGCTTCAGGATCTTCAAACGGTTGTCTTCCAAAGAGGCAGTTCCCTCAATGGAACTGATCCGTTGTGGGGGCCTGTGAAGAGGGATCTTGGAAGGAGGGTTAATTCCAACATCTTTGATGACTCTTGGTTTTGCACTGGTCCTCCTCCTCCTTGTCCTCCTCCCCCTCCCCCTCCTTTTCCCCCCCCTCATTCGCCAGCGGGTGTGCTCGTGCCCCC